GTGTCAGTCTCACTGTTTGGAACATACCTTGCTAAACCAAATTTTGAGATTTAGCATCAAATATTATAAATCCATAGTCAAGGAAGAACTAGTCTTACTGAACCACTGGGGCGTGTATATTTGTCCCCATTTCTGTAATGATGTGTTTCTAGTACAGGAGAGTACAGAGAAATATTCTTGTATGAGTGCTTGCTGAAGAGGACAGAGAGGCTGTGTAGACTATACACTGTGCATCTGTACTACTACATGTTTCTATTTTTGTGCTGCAAAGAATAATAACATCTATAACCTCAGGCTCAGGAATTACTTTCAAGAATCCAAATCTCAGGCCGACTGAATGCGTAATGCCACTCACATAGGGAACAATATAATACAGGACACATATTTTATAAGGTTATTTATAGTAGTCACCCAAAAAGTTATATACAAGAGAGTGTAGGAAATCTGTCCACACACTAGAGACCCAAGGATCTTGCTGAAGTCCTGGATCCCATGATAATGTCCTGCATGAGTCCAGCTAAAGACCTAGAGCCCATAAGAATATCTCATACAGGCCTGTTTCATGGATCTGCTCTGGGAAGACCCAAAGGTCAGTGGTGGAATCTAGGAAGTCTATGCCAGTGGGATGAAAGATCTGTGCTAGCAGGCTGAGGGATCTACATTGGAGCCAGGAAGTGATACGCAAAGTAAGAACCAGAGCTTCTTTGAAAAGTACCATAGCCATCCTCAGCAATAGTGATGGTCTGAGCTCCTCCAATGATCAAGACAGCTGAGTTCCCATCAGGAAAGCCAATGCAACAAGTTTCTTCAGGAGACTGAGCAGTGCACCATCTTCCCCTCCGGAGCCAGGAAGTGATGCTCAGAGTGAGGACCAGAGCTCCCCTAAAGTGAACCGAAGCTATTCTCAGTGACAACAAGGTCCCGAGTTCCCTGAAAGATGAAAACAGCCAAGTTCATCAGGAAAGCCAGCCTGATAAGCTCCTGCAAGAGAACCAATGGCTCCTTGCTGCTTCTACCAGCTCCCAACAGCCTTTTCTTAGTTCCCAACAACCTAACTTCTTCTTTCCCAGTTCTGCCTCTTATGCTGCTGGCAACAGTCCTAAGGTGGGCCTCCCACCCCCAGCACCATGCTTACTTAGTGCAGCTGGGTGTTATAAGTTGACCACCAGTTATCAATCCACTACATTATAATTGTTATTTTGGCACATATGTTGAGGAAAGTCCTCTTAAGAATAAGTGTAGATTGCGGCTCTTTGGAAAGCAAGGCTTTTGTATGAGCATGAGTGTGTACACACACGTGTGTGCGTGTACTTCTTGATGCATAGTTCTGAGCTAGGCATGGACAGTAGCTTCAGAACCAGTGGTTGTTTGACGTGTAAAATCACGACACTGGCTGCTCTGTGAGCATTCATTGCCCGAGCGGGGGTGTTGTGTTGCTTATTACCTAAACCAATTTCCAAAATGGGTAATTGTGTTCTGACTCATACAATTCCCCCTGCATTTCCTGACCGTTTCAAGTGACTTATAGCTTCCTGTTCTCCCTTAATGGATATGTAATGAAGTGACATATTTCAAAGTCATGGCTGTGTTTCAGGCCATGACTGAAAGAAACCATGGTGAAAAGAAAGGTCTTCAAATGGGGGTGATTTTGAGGGGCTGAAGATCCTCTGGGCTGCAATTTTTTAGAGTTAATCATTAGCAATTCAGGTGCTGTAGGAGCCCAGGCTTTGGGAACAGTTTGCTTCATTCACATATTGGCCCCACCACTTTTTAGGTGTGAACTGATTGCATAACTTTAACCTTTCTTGGTCTCGGTTTCCTCATCTGATAAGTGCTGATAGTAATAACACCTATCTCTGGGACTTTTGTGAAGATCAAATGAGACATTCTGTATGAAAGTACCAAGCATAGTGTGTGGCATATGGTGGGGGTCAATAAACACTGGCTCTCAGTAAGATTATTGTTTTATTGATGTAATCTGCCAAGAAGCCATTGCCAGGTGATTAAAGTCTAGTGGGGCACAGGAGGAATAAATAGATGAATTACAGCAACAGATAATAAAGTCAAGCATGCACCATGCATAGAAGCACAGAGATGCACACAGTTGATTCATACTGAGGTCAGGACAAATTTCCCAGGGGAAACAGGCTCAAAGGAAAAGTAACATTTTCCTGGAGGAAAGACATAGCAGAGAGGCAGTCACCGTGCAGATGCTCCATACCAGTAAATCTGTGGGTGAGCTTGCTGTTTGGTTTGTAGAGTCCATGTATGTTTATTGAGTTCTCCCTTATGAGACAGGCTTTGTATTTAGACTCAGGTAATGCAATAAGGAGCAAAAGGAAACAGTCCCGCCCATGGAACTTTCACTCCAGGCGATGACACTAAACTAATAACTTATGTAGCCTGTGGAGGGTCATGAGGGACAAACACAGAGCGTCGCTGAGTGGTGCCACTTTTAGGCTGATTAGATTTTGGGGTGGCATTTCTAGGAGTGCTTCTGTGGGTAACTTTTAAACCAAGACCTGTAAGGTGAGTGGGAGTGAGGTAGGGAGAGAGCAAGGAAAGCTTTATGCCCAGGAGTCATGGACCTTCTGGGAACTGAATGAGATTGAAAATGGGTTGAAAATGGAAGCAGAGAGAGCAATAAGTAGTTGCGAGATGAAAGTGCCTGGCAGATAGAAAGCCTGGCACATAGAAAGCCTGGGAAGGTAGCAGAGAGTCGTGGGTACTGAGATAGCAAGCAGGGAGACCACAGGGTCACAATGGTCATTTGGACCGAAGGATTGGGACCTGTGTCCCAAGTGCGATGAGAAGTCTTTGTAGTTTCATTTCATGTGTGGAAATGCCAGAATCAACCTTATATTTTTAAAAGATCATTGACTGTTTGCAGAGTGAATTCCTCGGTTGAAAATGGAAGCAGAGAGAGCAATAAGTAGTTGCGAGATGAAAGTGGCTTGTTTTGAGGAGGTGGCACAAAAATAAACCAGATTAATGGTTCCATCTGGCAAGGTCTGAGGGACCTGAGGTAGTTGATGTGGCCAGCTTCTGAGGAGCACTGTGTGCTATTTCGTGCTAAACATTTGCATTTATACTACAAAAAGGGCCAGTGGAAGTGGAGAAGCAGGGAAATGAAATAACCAGATTAGCATGTGCACGGAGGATATTTATTTCTGTTCCCACCTCCTTCTTGAGCCAGGCAGTTATTGGATTTGCAGTAACAGCTGGGAGAAGGGCCCAGTATCACTGCAGGCAAAAGATTGATGGGAGGCACATTCTTTTGTACAGCAGCACAAAAGAGATATATTAAGGGGAGGTTAAACTTGTCAGTGTGAAAGGCTTATTTATCTTGTAAATTCTCACCCTGAAGCCACCTAAGTCTTCTTTCTGGCAAGACCCAAATATGCCACTGTTCCGGAGCAGCAGTGGGTCCCCACAACCCCATCCTGTGCTTCACATTGTGGGAGGGGATGGATTAAAACAGTGCTAGGAGGACCATAGCCTTGTGGGAGAGGGAAGGACAGGAGACTGTCCAATGGGGGGCAGATTTCCTATTGGTAGGAGCAAGGCAGTGTTCTCAGACTGTAAAACAGAGGGCTCATAACCACTGAATAGCAGAGGATAGGTCAGAGACAGAGTACATAAACCACTGAGCAGGTAGGAGTAAGACCAAGAGAGTGAAGACATTTGGGTAATCAAGTTTGTGATGACTTTGTCATGGAATGTATGATTTGACCCTCAAGCTGGGGTTCATTTTTGAAACTCCCTAACTGTACCTGTGACTGACAAAAAGAAATAATTCCATGACACACATCAGGTGCCCTACCCTCTTCAGCGTGGGTGCTCAGAACGGGTCGTGTCCTTGCCGGCTTTTGCAGATGACTGAGAAAGTCCACAGTGATGGTGATAGTCTTGAGAACTATTGATAAGGTAGTCTTTTGGAAAACTGAAACCTATTAGAAAAATTAAAACAAATGTTCTACCTTTGTGAAGTTTCAAACCTCCTCCCCACTTACTATCTTTTAGGAAATTTAATAAGGAAAGATTATTTAGAAGCCTTGCTATACGTCAAAGACAAATCTGATTCCCTTAAACAGCTCTTTGCTTTTAAACCCACGGAGAGTGTTCTGTGATGTTGTGCTGGTCTATATGATGTGTCTGTCTGTGGAGGATCACCTGGAGGACTCTCCTTAAAAGAAGAGCAATTATCTCCATTTTGGCCAAACCTGGCCCTATTTACATGTATTGATATGTACAGAGTTGGCTAGGATTTTTCTTTATCCCCTCAGTTGGCTTTAAGAAATGCAAATCGGTCTAGCTGGTGCTGATGTATAGTCTTTGAAGCAAGGTGACAGGTCAGTGTTGCCCTGCCCCGTAGCTCCCAAGAAGCATGTATGAGCCAGATGGGAGGGAAAGCCATGCTCCATGCTCTTGGCTGGGTTCAAGCCTTGAGATAAGAGGCAATGACTTCCCAGGTCATAAAAGATTAAATATCAGAGCTGAAGCACTGACCTCAAAATATTAGATATTACCTCAAATTGTGTTATGCAGATTGCTCTTTCTGCAGATCCTTCTCTCTGCATATTGCAGAGGTGATTTCAGGCCTCCTACCTAGGCCAGCTCACAGCTCTTAGCACACATGTACTAAGTCACTCATCCCCGAGCCACTACTCTCTTCATGAATTAGTGAAACCTGGGTTCAGCCTTGGGTAGAGGCTTTTGTTCTGTTTAGCCATCATATAGCGGGATTTAGGACCCCTTGGCTCTTCACAACTACAAATATGCCTGAGTGACTTTATTCTTGCCCTGGGTTGCATTGGAAGTGGCAGATTGGAATTAATTCATTGGAATTCCAAGAACTTTTCATGGGATTACAAATATAAAATTCCCAGACTTCAACAAGGCCTGGGAAAGGCTTTCTATAACTGGCCTCGGCTGTGGTGCTATACAGTGGAAATATCCACACAGGATGTGTAACCAAATTTCCAATTTTCCCTTTTCAGGTCACGGAACTCAACAACGTGAAGAACGTAGCTCGGCTGCCCAAAAGCACCAAGAAACATGCCATAGGGATTTATTTCAATGATGACACCTCCAAGACCTTTGCTTGCGAGTCAGGTTTGTCTTGAGGCAGCAGGAGCTTTTGTTTTTACCTTTTGGGTAGGTGCTGAGCATACTGGCTAATCTCTTGGCCATTTCTACAGATCTTGAGGCAGACGAGTGGTGTAAAGTCCTACAGATGGAGTGTGTAGGGACGCGGATCAATGATATCAGCCTTGGAGAGCCTGACTTACTGGCTACTGGGGTTGAGAGAGAGCAGAGTGGTAGGTACAAGAAATTCTCAGCGTTTTTTTCTATACAGTGTTGCCCCATATGGTAAAACATAGGCCATCTTCATTATGCAAAATTTGAACTATGAAAATGCATAAAGGAAAGCAAAAATATCTCTTCATCCAATATACTACTGCTGTGAACATTGCAATGCATTTTTTCACAGTCTCTTTTTCAGTGTGCATTGTAAAAGTGTCTACATTCATAACACCAGTTAGAAATGTTGGGGAACCTACTCTTTGCCAAATTAACAAAAGATGCTCTACCAGCAGTAGATTATTACAGCCTCATGGCATAGATATTACTGCTTCTCTGATTCTGCAGAAGAGGAAACTAAAGTTTCAAAGGGCCAAACATCTTGCTCCAACTCTAGTAGCTAGTTAGTGTTTGGTTCCAGACAGTACTTTACTCTTGGGCCTGCATTTACCGCGTACAGATTTTAAACGATAGTGGCTTTTTGTCTTGCCAGTTCACTTAAAATGTTATTGAAAGCTTTCCAGTGCTTTCAATAGAATTCCAAATTCATGAATATTTCATCAAGTTTAAACCCACCTAAAAATCTGTGATTTTTTTTTTAAAAGACTGAAACACTTGAGCCAACTCAGTTTAACATGCAATCTAGGAATGCATCATCTTAAGTAATAATGACCAAAATATTCATGAGCATTTTAGCAAAAATCTATGTTAATTTACAGCATGAGCCTGGAAAAATTTCTTCACCTTCAAATAGCTGAGCTTGGCAATGGGGCAGACTGGATCCCAAGGTTCTGTGTTTGCAACTGACTTGATGGATGAGGATGTAGGCAATGGAAAGGGCACTGGGTCATCTGGATCAATGATGAACATGACAGGCATGGAATTGTACTGACCCAGTCCACAGGCCCACACTCCATTTGTTAGTAAGAAATGACCTCCTTCCTTATTGGAACTGTGTCTTCATGACACATTTATAGTCCATGACTATACTGAATGCACATGTATGCCATCATCCATCTCCACTGAAGTGTTATTGACCAAGCCCTGGAAGTGCTGGATAACTCAGAGGAGCCTTTTTGTAGATTGGGAAATTGAGCAACAGGGAGGTTAAGTCATTTGCCAGAGACATCCACCCACTCTCCAGACCCCTCTGCTCATGATTCACTATGCAGAGAGGACGCACCCAGAAGCTCACAGGCAGATGCCTGGGAGCCAAGCACAGAGAAGAAACACAACAGGTGTGGGTGATCATTGCTTCTTAGAATGCTCAGATCAGCATCTTCTTCCCACAAACGTATATTTGTCAAGAAGTATCCTGATAGCGCTGCAAATGGAATTTAAGAATTGATTATGCCTAGGGTTTACTATTGCCATGCTAGTTTTCTGTACCTAAGTTTCCTCTTCTGCCAAATAGAAGTAAGAATACATCTGGCCTAAAATTGCTAGGGACTATTATGAAATTCTACTATGTCTTTTGAAGTACTTTACATTGTTAATTTGTACAACTTCAAGCAATTATAATTAAAATTGCCACTCCCACTACTATGATTCTTGAGTGAGTTACAGATAATAGCAAATAAATTTGCTTTCAAGCAAATGATTTGGTGCTGCTCTTTTTCACTTGATATTTAAGGAAATCAATCTTTCTTGCTTGGTCCAGAACTCTCAAGGGAGAAATATGCTCCATTAGAATGCATTTTTAAAAAATAATAGTTACTTGAAAGCAGTAAATATTTGATAACTGGGAGTTTTAAATGATTCAGAAAATCTAAATTGTAGATTCATGGATACATTTCATGAACACAGTCTTAACATTACTATTGTATTTACCAAACTAAATTCTATGAAAATTCTAAGGATTATCTTTTTAAAAATAGTTAACTTGGAATACTGCTAAGATTAAATTGTTAATACCACACTATTTTGTGAAATGTAAGCAATCTATCTTAATGATGGCTAGGTGGAAATATGTTTGCTATAGTAATAGAATTTTGCTCATATATCACTTAAAGATTTTGACTGTAGTTTTTTATGTTCATGAATTTTCTAGAAATATAACAAAAATACAGTAGTTGTGTCTGTTGTCTGTAGGGATAAAAATTTGGTGGTTTTATTCAAAATAATATATTTAGAGTGATCTTGGCTACATTTTTCACAATCATCCAAAGAAGCAAATGGATATTTCTTTCCTGTAGTTGTCTAAAGGAAGCATTTTGTTAAAACTGGCTCTAATATCCCTATTAGTTTTTTTTTCCCAAATTGCTGGTTAGTTAAGTATATGGAATTAGTGTGGAATTTTATTTAAATAATTTGGGCTAGAGCTTTATTCATTTATATAAATGAGCTATATAAATTATAAGTTGAATAACAAAAGTTTAGTATAACTAGATCATGTGACAATTATTTTGCACCTGTATTTGTTGTGAACACAAAAATGTGGTTGTACTTAATGTGTGCTTAGCAGGAAAAAAAAGCTTTTAATCACATCTTCATCATTTCATTGCTTTAGTCTTCTTTTGGCACTCAAATTTTTTATTATGAAAAGTTCTAAAGTCTAAAACTGGTCTTTATCCATATAAATAACTGTTTATATTGACAGAGTGCATTTATTATTGTTATGTTATTTAATAGGGTCTGCATTTAGAAAATCATTTTCTAGGACTGTCCATTTGTGAGAATTATTAATCTTCCTGAATCTTCAACCAAATCCTAGAATATGAGTTTGAATTAGTTTGAAATGCTTCTCTGTCTCTACAATGTCTTTGATGTTTTTTTCCTGGGGATTTTAGACTAACCTTTTGTTTTTCTCCCAGAGAGATTCAATGTGTATTTGATGCCATCTCCTAACTTAGATGTACATGGCGAATGTGCCTTGCAGATTACATATGAGTATATCTGTCTTTGGGACATCCAGAATCCCAGAGTCAAACTCATCTCTTGGCCGCTAAGCGCCCTACGGCGGTATGGAAGAGATACCACGTGGTTCACTTTTGAGGCGGGGAGGTGAGTTTTGTGACTTTTAATAGCTCTTTCTCCAGACTTTTGTTTGATTTTTCTAAGATCATATTCTTGAGGTTCAGATATGCAATCCAACTTGAGGAAGTTTGTAGAGCTGCAACTGTATAATGCATGGGGTGTTGTACAATTCTCATATATTCAGCGTGGCTTTTTTTTTGGCCTGAAGAGGGTTCTAATATTTCACAACGTGATGTGAATTTTCATTACACAATTTGACTCCACACCACAAACTGAAGTTGAACTAGGTAAAAAAAAATGCAAAAAATGTACTGTACACTGGGTTAAGCTAACAGAGACCACCTTGTTGGTTTTTGGAAGACTTCCACAGTATTAATTGTTATTCAGTGTATATTTCTGCATCTGCACTAATATGAGAGAGCATAAATACGAGGGGCCATTGACATTTTTCAAGTTGCATTCAGGCCCATGTACTTTGCTTACTGTGTAATAAATAGCACTAACATTGGAAGAGCTTAATTCTAAAATTTGCTTACTGTCACGTTGGTGAATACTTGTAGGGCTTCCCATAGTTCCTTTTAGTGGTGAATGTAGGGGGAGAGAGAGAGAGAGAGAAAAAGAGAGAGAGAGAGAGGGAGGGAAGAAGAGGGAGGGAGGGAGGGAGAGAGAGAGAGAGAGAGAGAGAGAACAAGAGCACCTATAGTGCCGGGGTTTAGCTCTACAGACAAGGGACTAGGCTGTACCTCAAGGGACTAGCCTGTACCTCATTTGCCTTGACCCTCTTCTTCCTTCCTTAGGGTTTGAGCTCTTTTTAAAAATGCAACAGATAAATTTTATATTTTAAATTTTCAAGTGACTAATGTTAAGAAATATAAGTTCACCTCCGTATGGTCTGAAGTTATATTCAAATTGAAAACAATCAATTTATGACATGAAAGCAGTTTGTAAAAGTGGACCGCTCTTACAGGAACATGGTATTTAATATAAGGAGAGTGAAAATGGAAGTTCCAGACACCACCTAAGACCCTGACTCTTGAGAATAGGAGGCAGTAATCCTCCCTTCAAATTAGTTTGCCTACTTCCCCTTACATAAAGCCCCAATACTGAAATTTTACTTTTCAAAAAGATGGTCTGTTTGATATTCTTACAATGATTCTCATAAGTTTTTAAAATTCTTCTTTCCCACAAATATTTTCTCTGGTCTATTTTATCTTCAAGAACCTAGAAATAAGTTGGTGACTACAGAGGTCATCACATTAAAAAAATGAAATTGTAGGGCCGAGTTGTAGTTCAGTGGTAGAGTGCTGCTTGCCTAGCATGCCTGAAGCCTGAGCTCAATCCCCAGCACCACAAAAATACCAATCAACCAACCAGACAAAACCCATTGATGTTTACAACAGAGCTCCTCTCTTGTGAGAATTACCTATTTATTGTCTTTAAGGTAAAAAGACTTATAGGAAATTAGGAATTTATTTGGTCAGGTGGATTTTCCCCCTTTGAATCTCAGAAAATTTTAATTTTTAATTAATGATTTGTTATCAGTGTATTAATTATAATCAGTAAAATCTGGATATAGAAAATGCTTCATAATAGGAAATAGACATTTCTGTTGTCTATACTCTGAACTTGATCTTAGCTGAAAGGCCAAGAACTGATGTCTGTACACTTCATATTTTCTATGGATGCACATTAGAATCCTGTACTGATAAGGGTTTTTTCTTGGCCTGTTTTAGGCAATACTTATTCAAGCATTAGTATGATTATTTATTATTACTGTTATTATTATTTTGCTGTTGAGGGTTTAGGTATTAAATCAGGGTCTCATGCATGCTAGGCAAATGCTCTACTAGTGAGCCACATCCCTACCTTAAACATCAATATTTTAAATTGTTCTATAATTTCCTATTTGTCAGAAACAGTAACACAAACAGCATGATTTTGTGGTAAAATTTGAGAACTAAAGTCTAAGTAAACTTTTATAGTGTCTCATGACTACTTGAAGCTTTTTTTGAAATTATTGCATTAATTTTCCAGGTATAAGGTAAATACTACTTATATCCTATAAAAGGTTTAATTCATATTGAAAGCTAGGAGGATTACCAAAGATCTAGGAGATTATTTTAAAGACTGGTCTTTAGGAAACCATAAATAACTGTAACCGTGTGTATTTGGGTTTCTCTCCCCCACCCGCATCACTCCCTCTCTCCCTCTTTCCCTCTTTTTCTTTCGCTGTGCATTTACACCATGGAATTGTGCTCATATGTTATAAAAGTCACTCTGATCTCATTGTGGACACTAAAACAGAAGGGCAAATGTAGATGTGAGAAGATAGTGAAGTAGCTCGGGTAAAGGAAATGATAAGTGAAAAACAAACGTATTGGCGACATAAATCCCAGAATTATTTCAATGGTCTTTGACCAAAAACTGTAGAGCTTCATGAAATACTTCTTTCCATGACTTTGACAGCCTCTTTATGATCTGTCCTTTTGGGAATTTTGTTCATGAACTCGAGCAGCTAGATGGTTATAATAGCTACAAACACAAGCCATACTTGTGCCTCCAATATTGTATAAATGTAGGCTCTTTGCTGATGTTGAATGGCACTCTTATGTAGTGGCCATCCTTTGTGAGGTTGATACAACTAGGAATCTAGTGGAGGGAAGTGTGGGAATTGTGCTCTTAGAATTTCACTCACTGTTCAAATTGCATGGTGTAGTGTAAGAAGCACTGGTTTGGAGGTCAGAGGGGCCACGGTTTTTTCACTAGCCTTTGACCTTGGACCCAGTGCTTAACTTGTAAGTTTCTCTGAACAATAATTTCTTTACAAGGTCGTTCTAGGTAAAAGCAGTGATTGCCATTCTTGACCCAGGGTGGTGCTGGGCTTCTGAGTTGTATCTTTCTCATTCTGTTATGCTTATTTTGGAGCAGTTCTTGGGCTTGGAGGATACAGACAGGGTGAAATATAAGGTAAAACTACTGCTTCCTATTTTGCCTGAAACTCAAATAAAGATGAATTTTTATAGTTACCATCAAGATGCTCAGGATAATAAGATCATTTGTGCTCCCCCAAGCATGAAAGTTTCATATCTGCTGTACTTTATTAGTGAAGATAATTTTTTCCTTGGCTATTTTTGGATGTATTCAAAACAAGGCAATTTCATATTAACTAATGTAATGTCTTCCTCTCTTGCATCAAGAAATGAGCAGGAGCTGAGTCACTCCAGGCAAATAGTTTTCACATATCTGACATGCATCTGTAGAGCTTTTAGACTGTCCTTCTTTAGGACACAGGAAGTCTTCTCCCCAAGGACCTTGGACAAAGCTCTGCTCACATTCAGCTGATTCCTGCTCTGTGGTCCCTTCTTAAATCGCCAAAGCTGATGCTCAGGCACTTGTAAACTGGACGGGGCATTGGAGGACATGAAGTAAAATTCTGCTGCACCCTGGCTGTAGAAACAATGGAAGCTGAACATCTGTTGCCACCTATAAAATAGGGACAATATATGACTGATCTTATAAGATTGCTACAAGGGTTAAATAAAGGCATGTATTAAATTACCTGGCATAATGCCTGGCAAGTAGGAGGCAGTTGAATCAACCCAGTTGACATAGAAAAGGAACTCACTAGCTTATGTCACTCAGAATCTCAAGAATAGAGATGGCTTCAGGCTTGGCGTGAGTATGTGTCCAAGTGATGACCTAGGTTTCATTTGAGAATTCTTTTTCTACTAAGATGTCATCATTCTGGCTCCGGAGAGTGACTTCCAGGAGCTGTGAGATCATCCCACACAGTAGCCAGTAGAAGAGAGATGAATTTCCAGCATGTGTTGACCACTACATTCACTGTTTCATTTGGGAACTGAACTGAGTAACTTACATAGAACTCAGAGGACACAACAAGATCATGGAGGTTTTCTCAAGGCAGAAAGGACTTACTATTGCTGTCAAAAGGGGAAACGTGTAAGAATTTAAAAAACTAACAAAATGTGTGCAGGGTAGCATTTTATAATAGGAACAAGAAGCTTCTCAGCTGTAGTTCCTTTTCTCTTTCCTTTCATTAGTACATGTTTGTAGTACATACTGATTATATTCACTGTGGGGAGTTAGTTGGTCCATGCACATAACACACCTTAAATCTTTTTTAAATCTCTTTCAACGGTATCACTCATATGGTATTGCTCTCCAGAAAAATGGTTCTCAGCCGGACTTGATTTTGCTCCCTGGGGACATGTGGTAATGCCTGCAGACATGCATAGTCATCACAAATCACCCAGCCATGCTGCTGGCACCTAGCATGTGGAGGAACCAGAGATGTTGGTAAACATCTTAAACTCCACAGAACAGTTCTTGGCAATGATAAATTATCAGGTCCAGTTACGTGGGACTGAGAAACAGTGCTTTGTCAGGAGTATTAACTATGGAAAATAATCACTAATATTTATCAAGACCTTAGTCTGTGAAAGTCACTGCAATAGGCATTTTATGTATACCATCTCATTGTCGTTATTCACTGATGGTATTGGCTAGGAGATATTATTATTCCCATTTTATTTTTTTTTCTCTTGGTACTGAGAATCGAACTCATGACCTGAGGCTTGCCGGGCAAGCACTTATACCACTGAGCTATATCCCCAGCCCTTATTCCCATTTTAAAAGGAAACATTAAAAGAAATGAGGTACAAAGTAAATGGTGCATTTAGCACTTACACTCAGACTTCATACTTCCAAACTTTAGATTTCTAAGAAGGTTTCTCTTCTATTGGAGGTTGGCCTTGTTCTCAATGAGCTTCTGAGCTCTGAGGAAGAGAAAGCATAGTTACATAACCAAAGCTCTTTAAAACTACTCTACATGATACTGCAATAATATTACCCCAGAGCTGAAGTGACCTCAAAATGTGTGGGGGGGTATCTATCAGTAAGTCTCAGATTTGGAAGGATATTGGTAATCTGAACATACCTTCTGGTCTGTTCACGACTATTTAAATCTTCTTAATTTGGCTTTAACGTTGGGATCTTCTCTTTGTTCT